ATTTACGCTAGGTAAGAGACACGTCAATGATAATAATTACCATTATATTTGCTCATAGCTAATGTTAGTTATTCAAAGCTTCAATGGGCCAAAACACCTCATTTACTTAACTAATATCTTTAAAATTATTCTAACGAGATACGGCCACGCGAAGACTGTTCTCCGCTGTTGAATTAATTGGTAGGTCCATACGGAGAAGTACTTCAAACTCACGGAGGATATTGAGTTCCGACAGTATGGACTGATTGGTGCATCTGGCTGTCCATGATATTCGCGGCATACGCCTCCAACACCACATCTGAAAGGCATCAATCCGCTCTCTACTCTTGACAGTCGACGTTTCGGCTCCATATACAGGGAGGCTTTTCTAAGTGTATCCATTTTTTTTTAAATAAATATTAGACATAAATAATGTTATTTAAAAAAAAATAATATTTTAAATCACTCGTAAGTAATTAATTATATTCATTTCAAATTATCTCAAAAACCGCGTGATTTATACGCAACTCATTTATTTTACGCGCGATCATTCATAACTAACAGTAAAATTTAGGTATTTATGAATGACTACCGCTTTGTCAACAAGTTCTGTTTTTTAGGGAACAGAATGGTAAAAAAAAGTTTGTTTTTATTTCAATAAACGATTATACTACCGAGACTGAACCTCCTGTATAAATTTGGGCACCTTTAAAAACGTCTCCCTGTATAATAATCGGGAACGGTATTAAACGCATTTTGGTGTTATTGGAGCTTCCGTTTTTGGAGATTCCCATTTTATTAAAAGGTGGAAAAGCATTGTATACCCCACGGGCGTTGCAAATGTCCACGGGCGGCGGTTATTACTTAACATCAGGTGAACCGCGAGTTCGCATCATCTTATTCAGTGAAAAAACAAAACGACATTTCATTTTAACAAAAATGCCAAAGCTGCAAAAAGTTTGCGACGCTTTATAGCATAAACAACTGTATTATTCATTCCCAACACATTCAAGCTATGAAATCAAAGGAAAAATAAAGAATATATTTAGTCTCGTTGGATTTTATGGTAATAATACTTTAGTCCCGACATTTACTACAAGCTTCATAGTATAGTAATTGAATTCACGATCACGCATTTGGCATTAATACTAAAAGGGTTTACCCATCGGTGCAGTTGTAATCAGGAACTTGATTTCATCAAGATACACACTTAAAGCAATAGTTCAATAACACAATAAATTGTCCTATCACCTAAATAGATAAAATGATATAAGTCTGCACGCATCACGGAAAAACTACTGAATAGATTTAAATTAATTCTTAAGTTCTGTTTCTCAGACACTTGGCCTATATTTAAAAATATTGTGATATCTTCATTTAATTTAACGTTACAAAACTTAGTTTGACGACCCGAATGGCGTAGTGGGTAGTGTACCTGCCTCCTGCGCCAGAGGGTTTGGGTTCGATCCCCACTACTGGAAAAATATTGTGCGATGAACATAGTGTTTTTCTAGTGTCTGGTTGTTTACATATGTATAATATGTATTTATTTACAAAATAAAAGTATTTTAAGTACTATATGTATATCAGTTATCTAGTACCCATAGTACAAGCGGTGCTTAGTTTGAAATTACATCGATAATCAGGGCTAATTAATTTTCGCATGAACAATGCGGCGATATCGTAGATAAAGATAAAAGATGATAAGAGAAAATAATTATGCGTTTATTTTCTTTTATATTTTTTTCAACATACATATTTCTTTGTTATTTTTATGCTATAAAATCTTTATAGGCATAAATATCTTTCAAGTGTTTTAGATGACTTGTTGGAATAAATGTGTTCATTATTTATCAACAAAAAGTGTACCGCAGTCGGTAGGATTCGAACCTACGCTCCCAGAGGGAATCTGATTTCTAGTCAGACGCCTTAACCGCTCGGCCACGACTGCTATACTCAGTTTCATGAAATAAGCGCACATACACAGTTACAGTTATAACTAATTACCCTTTATAAGTGAAACAGAGATAGCAATAGGTCTGATAACTGTTTATCGGTTGAAATTTATCAATCAATGAGGAATACTTGCAAAAAAATATAGACAAAATGTAAATAAAGGAATAATAAAAGCCGCGATAGCATATTGTCCGGGCACACACTTTTAATTCGATATACACCGGCAAAGGCCTCCTCTCTACAGAGGGTATCAGGGCATAATCCACCACGCGGACTAATAGCCGATTGGCGGACTTCACATAATAATAATAATAATATGCTTTATTGTACACCAAAAAAGAAAAAAGTACAGAACTAAACAAAATATTTATCAAATATTGGTCATCAAAAGGCGACCTTATTGCTACACAGAAATTTATCAAAAGAAATTGTTATTGGGTAGGATGTACATGAAATTAAGTAAAAAGAAAGTTGCAACAAAAATTGAAGTAACAAGAAAAACATACCTCTTGTGTGTGATCATCAAAGTAAGAGTGAAATAAAAAGGGGGAAGGAGAGAGACATCGAGAGATATCTTGCAAATATACTATTTTTTGTTATTATTTCGAAAGTATGCAGGTTTCCTCACGATGTTTTCCATCATCGTGGAGCACGTGATAAGTCAGCACTTAACGTTAAAAACTTCATTGGTGCCGGCGCCAGGGATGGAACTCAGGTTGCTCGAGTATATTGAATTAAAGGCGAGCGCCCGGACACTGAGCTATCACGGCTCAACCCGAGTTCGATCCCGGTGCCACAATATTTTAGTAGTGGGGATTGAACCCGCACATTGGCCGAGACACCGGTTCTCTAACCACTGTGCCAATCGGATATTCACGTGTCAGACCGTAGCACACACAAATGCCAATACGCGTTGTGTAATCGAGAAAACGACCGGCAGAGCTGAAAGATAAGAACAAAAAAAAAGAAGCATAGAAAACGCGGAGACAATCCCACGCCCCAATAACCTGAGCATTGTTTGCAGCAATCCCGAACTTTAGCCGGCCGATATTTAATATTCACAATCGTAAATATCGATCGACAATGGGCGGCCATAATAAAAACGCCGCCAAATATTATCGTATGCGCCTCGCCCGGCTGTGAGAAAACTCATCTCGAATGATACCCAATATTGTTTATTGTTTCGAAACGGATCGACTTTACTTCTACAATCGTATCGTTGCGATTTTGCATTTCCAATAATTTTAACTGCTTTGTCAAAATATGGTTGGTAACACTGAAAATTAATATCATTATAATATTCTGATGGTATTCAATTCTCTTGTGATTTCTTTTCCTCTCTACAGAGGCTTCGGTCTGGTTTATTTATCTGCTGTATTGGATATGTCTGTATGTATGTAGTTAATGTTTTATATTACTACAAATATACTTGAACTGTGACGGGCGGAACAGTGCTATATTTCTAAAATGACCGCGTCTTACGTAAATTAGATATATGAATGTTTAGTCCAACGTACTTTTATTTTGTTGACACTAAAATTTACATGTAAACGTCCAACACTACGATTATAGAAGTATAATATAGTACGATATAATACAGTACGATATAGGACTAGTAAACACTACGATTTAAGCATGGGTCGCTCAAGCTAGTTCAAGTAAGCATAGATAGTTTTCCACGTAAAATGAATTTTAAAATAATTCGTACATCTCGTGTGCAAAAATTTACAGTATTGTGTAACAGTGTAACGTCATCATCACTATTGTAATTTTCCTAGCAGCGGGACTCAAATATTTTTTTCTTTTCGGCTAAACGCCTTCAAAAAACCTCGATATAGCAAAAGATTACAATCTCGATTCTTTTTCAAGTAAATTTTTAGCATCTGAAAATATTCACGAAGTCGATTCCAAATTCCATAATGCTAAAGTATTGTTATAATTATTATAAATGTATGAATGTATACGTGTATAAGTGTATATTCCGCCGATAGATATATCAAAATAACATGATAAAATAATTATTTACTATAGAATTTCAGAGCTTCAGATAAGTACTACATTTTTTTTTATCCATTTCATAACTGCTTGGCTGGAAATCGCAATGGAAGTTTTAATTTTTTTTTTACCATTTGTTTCGCCCAAAATGATAATATTAGCAAGTTGAATCAATTAACAAAATCCCAGTTAATGTGCAAAGTCTCTCTGTTAACAAGTTTAAGAAATTTATTAAAGAAAAACTTTTTAAAAAGGGTTCTTATAATATAAATGAATACATTAACGATAACAACCCCTGGGAATGAGATGATCGCTCCCAAGCTGTTTCTAAAAAAATATTATGTACTGTATAACAATGTAATGGTTTGAAAAAAAAAATGACAAAAAAGAGGATACGGAGTTTCTTTCGTCTGTTTCTTCTCCGTTAGAGGAACCTCATTACGAAAAGGTGGAAAAAAAAAATGACTATCGATAATTGAAATGTATATTTCTTAATTCGATGAATAAATGATTTGATTTGAATTAAAAATTACCACTGGTACACAAATGGGTACAAAATAACTCTGGGTTTAATAAATCTTCAAGTGTTTATGACTCGTCTTGTCCGTTTTTATATTTTTTAACTGGCACAAAAGGCGTTGGTTATTATAATACATACTATTATTTACAAAAGAATTTAATTTAATTTTGTTCCTAATAATGGTTTCTTTGTTATTAAATGAGTCTAAAACGCATCGGAGGAACATTGCATGTGTATTTAAATTATCTATGAACACATCTACCCGCCTCTAAAACTATTACGTCGATAAGTTTTTTTTATTATATCCTGTTGATAAATTTTATTCTCAATTATTAATCTAGTAATAATTTAGTTTCGCTTTTTGCTACTGTAAACCAGTAGCAAAAAGCGAAACTAAATTATTGAAATTATATATTTAAAATTAAAATAACGGATTTTGGGAAAAACATATACAATTATGTTTTAAATTTTCAGTACATGGTGATTTAATTCGGATTATATATTATATTCGGATAAAATTGCCTAGTAGGGATAAAAAAAGGAATCTTACCTTATACTTCATTATAATTATTTTCTTTCCACTGTCGTCACAAACACTAACAGGTAATTTTATAAAAATAAGGATCTTAATTTTATTATTATTTTTGTCATTTGATTTAAAAAAAATGCAATAAAGGCGCCAAAGACGGTTTTCGCGCCACACCGAGTTAGGCAAAGGCAAACCGCGCATGCGTACGCCGCAGCAGCGCGTTAATGGACGGCCCGCTGGCGGCTCGGTGGTTTTGCTTCCCCGCCATCGCGGTGCAACGACCCAAGCACTAACGGGAGGTTGCCAACTTTTGGCAACAACTAATCCATCCCGATTTGCCGAACCCTCGTACTATTTTAACGGGCCTCCCGTTTTAGACTCGAACGGAAAGGAACGCGCTAATCTGGCGGAGTTAACATCTTAATATCTTTTAACATCTATAAACGAAACGTTATAAAATGATTAATTTTAAAAAACAGACATTTCAACCAATTTCAAACATTTCAACCCGTAGTTTATTGTTTTGACGGTATAAGATCGTTTTAGTGCAGAAAAGTAAGTTTTAAGTATTTCACATGAAAATACCGCGGTAAAGCCTAACTGATAATTATTTTTCGATCATTTAAGTATTGTCATGTTATTATCATTTTGATTATTATCATATTATCATCTCGTTTAGTGTGGAGGGAGGGAGGTCCAATGTCGACATCTCTGCAAAAATTTCGAAAAAACTGTCGCTAATTGCTGTTTCACTATTTCAATCGCTTGTCTTAACCTCAAGCCCAACGGACTAATAATAAGCCATCCAATATTGCGTTGCATTTCAACAGTACCGCATTTTCACCATAAGCTTCTACGGGTTTTATTGTTTACGCGAATACTATAAATAGTTATATAAAAACTGTTTTAGTGTTAGGTACGTAATTATCAAATATGGTTTTAATTCTCGACATTTCAAACACTATAATAGATCCATGGTAAACACTCTAAAAAGATAGTTGTATTTAAAAATTAATTTAGTGCAGTCAGCAATTCAATTTGGCTGCTACTTACATTACTTTTATAGAACCATAAAACCTTAGAGAATTTATACGATTTAATTTTATTTCTAATTTATCGGCATGACGAACACTACAGCGCTACAATTGAACTGACTATTAAAAACTATTTGACAAAAAACAACAGATAAAATAACAGGAAATAGCGATATTTCTTGACTTAATACACTTATTAGGTCAACGACATATTATATGTAATATTATTTACCTTAGTAACAATTGAGATCTGCATAGATATTACAGTAGGTAGGTGTTCTAATAATATTTGCTAAGACTATTATTACGAGCAGTAAAGAAATCTATGTCAGTAACAAAGTTGTAATAAGTGAGGATAATGCATTATCGTAATTACATTTTTTCTTTCTTTTTATCGCACGTAACAACTCGTTCTATACCTAGCGGCAGAACTAGGCGTTCGCCTTCTACTAGTGACTGACTGACTAGTGATATCATTGTGCTAGGATTGCCCAAGTTCAAGTCCCAGGGCCAGCAACACGACTTGCATTTTGATCGCTGAATCGAGCACTCTGTGACAACAGCGTGGCAAACGTACGGATGGTTCTGCTTATGTTAGGTAATTACCGTTGCCTATTGGTCTTTACAACACGTTGTTGCAAAAACGTCGCCATAATTCGACAGTGACAGCCCCGGTTAGCCACAATTAGACGAAATGATGGACGGCCCGTGGCACAAACATCTCCATATTAAAGCAACTAAAACTAGAAAATGCTGAGTCTGTACACTATCTACTTACAGCGCATGAGCGATACTTTGGCCATATTGCACGCAGAGGAGCAGACAACTTTGAGCGTTTGATAGTGACGGGTAAAATACCTAGAGGCCGTACTCCTAAACGGTGGGCGGATCAAATTTCAAAAGATCTGGAAATCCCCATAAGGGCCGCACTCTACCAGGCGACGGAGCGAAACCGATGCAAGCAGCTCGTTGACATAAGGTGTACAGAATTCTGCTTGCACTGTAATACAACACTTATTAATAATTGTTAAAAACAGTGAAAACTTATAGGGAAGTTTATCTTTATTATTATGATACCTTTGCTATTATGATGATAAATACATAAATTGCACATAGTGAAAAACCCAGTTTTTTCTTTTTTTTTAAAAAACATTGGATTTCCTTTAAGATAACATTATCCTGTGTTGTAAAGACGTTTTACAAACATAAATTTCACGCGGACAAACACCCAGATGCGAAACAAGCGCCTGTGGGTCACACAAATAGTTGTCCCGTGTAGGAATCGAACCCACGACCCCCGACGCCAAAGTCAATAGCTTGGCGATTGCGCCATGGAATCACTTACTATCGGTATAAATTTCAGTTATCAGTCTTAACTCAGTAGAGGGAGTCGAATCCACGACCCTGGATTCTGAAGCAACTGCGTCATCAGCGGAAAACACCACAAACCGAAACACAGCTGCATGCAGTGGCGGATTTGCCCTAAAGCCCAATAGGCCCGGGCCTAGGGCGGCCACAAATTAGGGGCCATTCGTGACAAAAATTCACTGAAAGGTGCAGCTGGAACTTACTACATGGGCTGGGTCCTAGGGCGGCTAAAACTACAAATCCGCCACTGACTGCATGAATGGGCAGGTCCGTCGGTGTAAGTACCACGACCTCACAGAAGACCGTCGTGAATAACTGTCATAGTTCTGCGTTTCGTCTGCTGATTTTGTTGAGTCTGCTGAGTGTGGTAGTCGGGGCCCACTTTACTAAAAGGTGGCAACGCATGTGCATCCCTAGGGGTGTTGTAATTGTCCATGGGCTGCGGTTATCACTTAACATCAGGTGAACCGCCTGCTCGTTTGCCACCTTCACACCTATAATAAAGACTTATTCTTTCACCTGCTCTAAAACTTGGAAGGGTCGCCACTACAAGTCCTTCGCTTCCACTTCCTCGATCTCAATGCTCACCTATTTCACAAACATAACATTCTTCACACAGTCCATCCAAACTATTCTCGGTCTCACTCCATCCTCACTATCACGAAACCGCAGCAGAAGCAAACAATAGCAGAAATATTACAATACAGTGAAATTAACGTTTACCAGCCCCTATAGAAATCTACTGATTTACTTAGTTACACAATACATAATGAACGCGCCAAGCATTACTTCAAATACTAAAAAACAATGTAGACAAAAGACGTTAAGATTTGCGTTGATGTGGCAATCAGCCGTTTAGCTTAGTGCCTAAAGCGTCAGGTCGCGAATGCCGAACGTGAGTTCGATTCCCACAGCGGCGACAATCATTTCGTACTCTTTCTACAAATTTTAAGTACACAATACAGTTATCAACGCTGGTTGGGTTTGACACAAAGTATAAATTTCCATTTTATGTAATGTAGACCCCGAGTTATTACAGTTTTACAATAAAATATGTAAATTTATTAATAAAAAAAAATCCTGTAAACTACAATGAAACTATTTTATATCAACTAATAGTAAAAAAGAAACCGCATATAGTATTTCATCTTTATGGAATAGAATATATAAACTAATAATAAAAATGGACATTACTATTTCATTATATTATATTATGTTTTAATTTGTTACTCAAATCGCACTCCCACTTCACTTTTTAATCATTAATGTCCTGCTGTTATTGTTATTTAAACGCGAGTCTGCAATATGATCGTTCATTGTATGCGCTGTTACTCTCAAAACTTTTAAGTTACGGAGATTTTTGAGACTTGATTATTTTCGTATAACTTGATTTACATAAATTAATTACCTCGCAGTGATATTTTATACCATAGATTTATCATCATCATTTCAGGCTGTTAGACTCCACTGCTGAAGATAGGACTACCCCACAGATCGCCACAAAGTACGATCCTGAGCCACCTGCACATCGACTTCTAGCACATTTGTACAGGTCTTTACTTTACTCCATCTAGTAAAAAAGTCAATCAATCAATGAGTGTTGCCAGGGATGGCCAACGGAACCAAGACGTGGACTCTTACCTGTTTGCCGTATGACATAGATATATGACGGAGTGATTGCACAAATTCACACGTTTCGTTTGAATGCTATAAAACATAAAAATGATACCGGAATAAAAGCAATAATAAAAAATCGCCCAAGTGCGAGTCGGACTCGCACTATTACTAATTACACAATTATTTATAAAAACAGCAAAAAAAAAATAGTGTTTGTTATTATAGCGGCATAAGAAATACATCATGTGTGAAAGTTTCTACTATCTAACTATCCGGTTCTTATGAAGCATACAGCCTGGTGACAGACGGACAGACAGACAGCGTAGTCTTAGTAATAGGGTCCCGTTTTACCCTTTGGGTACGGAACCCTAAAAAGAGGATGGCAAGTGTTTGTCACTTTAACTTTAAATCTCAAGGAGCATCCTCGAGATTTAAAGTTAACCGTTCTCGTCCTTCACTTATTGCTACCTTTTTCTCTCTCCAGGCGCGTAAAGAACATATATAGAGAGGATAAAATTGTATTAAAGATTTACATTTTTTAAACATCAATAGTTATCGAGTTATCACATTTTCCAAAACAAAGAATTCTAGAACATCCTTACGAATACTTATTACTTTACGTATATTACGATTTATTTATGATACGTATTTACTTTAATGTAAAGTTCATTTGTAAAGCATATGAATGGTTTGAATGAATTTAAGAGACAAAACATACTGTTAGAAGGAGAGGCTTGTTATGCGGCGCTGTGGCAACGAATGAAAAAGTTTCTGAATGTATGAATCAGTCAGTTGTAGCTGTATAGGATGTTACAAATTTTGTTTCTTTTTTACTTAATTAGTTTGTTTGAAAAATATTTTTTTTAACTATGGATTTTTAACGGTAATATTTTTTTATGATTATTGGCAAGTAGCGTTAGAAGTGTGTTCATTTATTGTCGCGGTGGTAATGTATAAAATATCATTGCCATTGTAGTAATTGTTTTTGCATATTAATTAATGTTTTCGTAAGCTATCGTTAGAGGTAGTTATGTCTTGTGATTAAATCGTAATATCGATCTGGTTAGGTACTTCCTTTGGATATGTTCGAATATCGTCAGCGGACCGAGCTGCTTGATGTTTTTTTTGTTAACAGGGGTCGCAGTGATACGGACGGTGTCAACTTATCGTCATCGTGGATCTTGTTCTCCTAAGTCCGAATGTCATCTGCATCATCTGCAATCCCTAGAGTATATACGTTCTGTGTTCAACTGTTTGTAGACCACTTCTGACGCGTCAAAGTTGCTGGGCTACACTACACTACACTACACTACACTACACACACTACAAATAAAAAATGAATTAATGTAATATTTAATATTAGTAAATTAAATATTACACGTATCTAAATGTGTATTTTATTGAAGAAAAACAATAAGACTTGTACATTATTAATATGAGGTATAAAATTACATTATTGTGTGATTGTAATACAATAGCAAATAATCAAGCTTGCTAATCTATAGGTTTTAGCTCGCGAATATGCTTATATATTTAGCTTTTTTAGAGTCCAAAAAAGTTTAAGGCATTTTTATGGCCTCGAATAATATTTCATATAATATATATACATATATATATATATATATAGCTATTCTGACAGACGAAAGTGAGTAAATTATTATTAGTATTGTGAATGAATACACTATAGGGCTTTTTTTGGGGCTTTTAAAAATTGTTTTTAGTTCATTATTTCATCTTGACTTGAGGACCATTTTTATAGTTGGCAGCACTGCAAATAGCAAAATAGCAAATGCATCTGTCAAAATGGCGTGGCTGTGATGTCGTTCTATTTTGTTTGGTTTGCTTAAATAAGTGATGTGAGCGTGCTAGTACAAAATATATATATTACAATCGTATTTGTTTTATATAAATCGTGTTAATTGATAAAAATGTCTCGAGACGTGAATCGCAAAACATATTATAACCGTCCGCGTGATTGGGAAAGGAATGACTACAGAAATCAAATGTCGAGTAAACGGAGTAGAAGTCCGAACAGAGACGGTAAACGCCGCAGTCGATCCCCACGGAAATCTGAAAAGGCATCTCCTTTTGATGAAAACATTTTAAGCGAAATCTCGAAACTACCGGAACCCAACGAATTATGGGACAATCAGTTTCAAGATGCTTTTACCGGCAATACATCTGCGCCGCCCCCGCCGTCCTTTTCACAAGAAGTAAATAAACAATTAATACAATGATTTCGTAGAAATTTTATGTTTATTAGATTAATAATGGAAGAAGTTTATGCTAGTGAAAAATGAAAATTAATTAAGCAAAAAAGAACATCCAAAATCCTAGTAACTTGCAAATTATTTTAGCATATTGTATTCACAGAATTGTAGAAAAAATATTATTCATTTTCCAGTAAAAAATAGGGTAATAACTGGAGTTTCTTCCTTTGATTATCACCATGATTCCCATGTAGAAATTTTGTATATATTATGATTTCTGAAATATCTTTTTGTCACCATTAGGGTAACAACTATCCTGGTAACTATCAGCCCTCTTATTCTGGTGGATATGATGAGTTCTCATCAATGTCATCAGCCCCACATCCACAAAATGTCTCCACCTGGAACCAGGTGCCAATGCGGCCACCTCCACAAAACCAACAGGTGTTTGTCAATGTTGAAGATCAAATCAAAAAAGAAGGTAAGCATACAGACTTACAAATTTTTGTTTATACTACTCCAATTTAATTTTTTAATCAGATATGATAATCAATGATTTGTACTTATCATTTCAATTTAACATTTTTGATTTGTAATTACCATTTCCAGTTGATTTAATCATATTTTTTTTACCTATGTACATTACTATACAATTTTGTCAGTTCAATTGCAAGTGCGGGTTTACTAAATGGAATCCTAAAATTACTGATAGATATTTTACTTTAAAATATATTATGATCAAGCTAGTCATAGTCTCGTAAAACAAGTTGCAATTTCAGTGCAGGCATTGAGATTATTTGAGAATTTTTTCTGTGTTGATTCACTAGATGCTTGAGAGCGGAAGAAAAAATTGCTAGGAAACCAATATGCTTCTCTTGTTATTTATTACCTGTTAATTTTAACTGCATGTAAGGCCTTCAATGGCTGGTGATGCTCTAACGTCCAAATCATTTTATTAGCTGATCAAATTTATTTATGTGAAACTATTTTACCGGTTATTTCCGAATACCCTACAGCATCTGCATGTTCAATGCACTGATTGCACAAATTATTGCATAATATTGAATTTAAAGAAAATACTTGCAAAAACCAGATTTACCTATGCTGCTATAAATGCCTCATATTCCAACCTATGTTCATGCTGAGAATTAAAACAAATAAAGACAAAGTAAGATAATATTATTTATCATGGGAAAAGGAGGTAATTTATATTTATATACACATATTTTTAGAATTAATGTGTAAGTTGTTAATATCATCAAGTTTTAAAAACTGGTTTATTGCAATGTCTATTTTTTACAGCCAATATTAAGTGAAGCAATGAAGAAGAACTGCAAGTTCATCAGGAAGTGTTCAATAAACATTCATTGGAATTAATAATATTACATTTTAATCATAGTGTTATTTGCTTTATTGTGGGTGTAATTTCACAAGACCTATTTTGTGTTCAAGGTTTAGCTTTTGCTTTTACACTTTATTTTAGTTAATTGCCTAGAGTTGAGCAGTAACAGTGAAATTACACTCATATTACTTGCAGAACCAAAGCAGTATATGAGCTTTTTCAATTCTTACAGCAGCAATAGAATCAGAAATGCGCCACCAAAAGGCGGCTTTGTCTAAACAACGTGAGGACTGTATGAAGAAGGCCACCATCCTCAAAAAAGAACTAGAGACTCTGAAAGAGCAGCGCAATGAACTCCACAACGACCCCAAGCGCTCACCCAGCCCTGACACCAAGCGATTTCTCAAAGAGAACACAAAACTCCAGGTTTAATTTAACACTGTTAAAATGCTGTCCATTCATTTCCTTATACTTATAGCTAGAGATGATAGATTTTTTTGTAATGAAGTTTGCTTACAAATTTAAAGCTTATTGCAAATTTAAAGAGTTCAGGTGCCAAGCGGTAACCATGCATCTAGTTATACATTCTGTATAGTTGGAGATCCAGAACAAACTGAAGACAATCAACAACGTTGTGGATATGTTGAACGGTATCATCGGCGAGGAGGCCCAGTCGGAGAAAAACGACCCTGAAGACTCCGGCGAGCGAGGCTCCAAGCGAAAATCCAGGTTGGTAATGTTGCGATTAGTCAAACAATTCCGCTAAGATTAATATAATTGATGTTGACTTTTAGTTTGGTACATTTGTTTTATTGAATTTATTTCTATTCAAGTACACCGTTTTTATATGCATTTGAGATTTTCATAATAAAGTTTATACAGGGCTGTGAAGCTATGAGTGTTTAGCGTATGGTGCCTCCATCTTGTTAAGAACAACATAATGCAGAGAGAGTGAAGTACTAACTGAGAAGAATTGAAGATGTAGGAGATGTCTTCAGAGTACATTTAATTTTGTATATAACATTTTATATTTATAACACTATCACTAAGTTGTGTTTGAATTTACACAGTTTGAATGTAAACTTTCTGTATTTTCTATGATTATACTTGAATTATCAAAATAAAATCCTTTAAGAACAGATACATTGAAGTTTACCTGTAACCTTTGTTTATCATTCCTGTTGCATCTGCTTAATTCTAATATATCGTATAAAACCGGCTATTGCATTCTGCATATTATATAGTGTTTCAGAAAAGATAATTTGAAAAGTTTATACAATTATTATACATTTTATCCGCCTGTAAATAGCCAGCCCAGCTTAAAAATATTTGCTTAATAGCTCTTTTTCATTGTGAATTTATTTTAAATGAGTGACATAATCTGTAATCACAAAAAAAAACTATTTAAAATATATGTATAATAAACTATTTAAAATATATAAATATACTATACTCATTTAAAACTACCTTTTGTGATCTCTTGTGCAAAAATATTTTTTTACCGTTTTTATGTTTCTAATGTGTTGCTGTATTAAGCCTTTCCGTTTTTCCTCCCAGTCATGCCTAATTTTACCGCTAGCAGCAGTCGATTTTTCTTTCTGCTGATATTTAATAAGATCATGGGGAACTTCCATGTGTGGATCGGATGCCGGTCCATTTGCCTAGCAAGAGCGACCCCCCAATCGTAAACCCATTGATTTATTCCTTGCGCGTTTGTTTGTATGTTTCGTGGTGGGGTGGAGCTTACCGTGCGCCGTGTTGCCAGGTCGCCGTCGAACAAGAAGTTCAACTACGTGTACTACGACCCCGAGATGCACTGGTGTCGAGTCTGCAACGAGTTCCCCGCCACCGCCAAGGACTACTTGACCCACCTGCACTCGCCCGGTCACCACAAGTGAGTTTTGGATCAGTAGATGTAGCTGTAGCCTCATCACACGTCATATTGCTTCATAAAGACCTCTGAATAGAGCGTATTATTTGTATACATATAATATATTTATCGTGATCGATATTAGCGGCAAACCAATTGTACACTTGGCGTCGCGGCAAAACGGCCCGGGTTTCCATGGACTCAAAAGTGAGACACAACGGCTGGCTATACTCTTCGGACCCACCGCTCTGTGTGAACGTGGCCTTTGACACTATGATAACCAGCCTGCTCTGGCGATTGAAACTCGAGCGGTATGTGATGATCCTCAAAAACAGCTTGTGTATATGGCTCATGAGTGAGATTTGCCGGTAATTTTTCTGTATTGTAATCAAGAATAACTAACTTTTGAATAGATTAATAGATAGATTTTCAGAGATAACCAATTATGTCTAACTATACTAACAAGTTTCATCTATTTAGTAGAATATAGATCTCAGTCAAGGTTTTATGACATTTGTCAGTTTTCTTCTAAATCTCCTAATATTATGTTTTTTTTTTCTTTTTAAATTACTTATGCGAGCATATTCGGTAACCGCCAGACACTTAAATTCTGTTTGATTTAAAAACCTCCATTTCTCGGTTAATGCAGGATGGCCTCTGCCCATATGGAGGCGCCCTGGCACTCGATGTCTGGAGTCAATGAGGGCTTCCCCAACTACCCTTCGGCGCCCACCAAACGGACACCAATCAGAGGTAAGTGCTTGTTGAAATTTATTAAAAAAAATACATTGAGGACACAAATCTCAACATATATCAATTTTTTTTTTTTCATTTTTAGCTACATAGTGATAAACTATGCTGTACCTTAAAAATAGTATTTCTTTGTTTTGATAATTTACCCATTGATACACATATAACTTTCATCTTATCATACATTTAGGAGAATACCCCTCGTAGCAGACAATCCCCCTTATTTTTCTTAATGTCTTTGTACAAGCTTTGTGCCGATGAAGCTCATATAGTCTAAACAGAGTGCAGACATCGTCAATAAAAGCGTTCACCGCCATCTTTAGATTATTACTTATAGGCTAGGATAAACAGGTGAGTAACAGTAAAGTGAACCTTATCGCTTGCGCCCGTAGGTCTACAGTTCTTCGTGCCTTCGACGGCGTGGTACTGCAAATTGTGCGATCAGTTCATAGGCGACCTGCACTGCGCATCCGCCCACCTCAAGTCTATCGTCCACTCGAAGAACTACACGGTAATAAAACAGAAGTAGTAACATTTATAAATAAGGGAGTGTATCCATCAAGATTTGATGGTTCCGTGGCCGCAGTTGCTAAGATGTTTGGCTTCGGCGCCAGGGTTCATGGTTTCGATTCCCACACGGAACGACAATTTGTGTGACCCACAGATTCCGTGTGTCCTCGTGAAATTTATGCTTGTCAACCTCCTTACAACACAGGATAATGTTATCCTACAATAAGGGTAATGTTTTTCTAGAAAAGAAAAATCGAGTTTGCATCCAAAACTTCAAAAAAACTTCGCATCAGCTGCAACTACCCATAATAGCTAATATAATATTATCGATTTCATAATGTATCATGAAAAAATGCGACCAATTATCAATCTAATAAATAAATTCTAAAATCATTTATTAATATTGCTTGCTTTGTAATAAACAATATCGCTGTCAATGCGCCATCTCTTCTCACCAATTTGTGTGCCGTGATGCGGCCTGGACACGATATCACATTGTATATTCAATATCTTGCATGCAATGTATTTACACCATGTTTACAAATAAAGACTATCTTTCTATCAAAAATTAAGCGCGCTCGGCCGTATCTGCCTGCAGTCGAGTCTCTGATATGTTAACATTGCCGCTGACCTCACTCGTTTTTCCACAGAACTTCGTGGAACAGAACCCCCACTGGGATACCGACTGGATGTCGGATCGGCAGAAGGCCTTCGAGAAGAGTAGGGGAAAGGCCAAGGCAGAAGAGAAGTCTCAGTATGCCGCCCACACGATCACCTTCAGCAAGGATGGCTTCCACACGAAGCGGAAGGAGAGCCCCAACCCCGTCTCCAATTCGGAGAAGAAGAGGAAGAAGGAGAAGCGTAAGAAGAAGGGGAAGAAGAAGAGGTCCAGCAGTGAGTCGAACAGCAGCACCAGCAGCTCGGAAAGCGAACCCAAGAAGACCAAAAGTAGGTGCCACAACAATTAAGTAAAGTAACAGCTTATAAATGTCCCACTGCTGGGCAAAGGCCTCCTCTGTAAAGAGGGTATCAGGGCATAGTCCACCACGCAATCCTACTGCGGATTGATTGACTTCACATATTTTCGAAATATTTTTTTTTATTATTATTTCGAAAATATACAGGTTTGCTCACGATTTTTTCCTTCACCGCCGAGAAAGTGATAATTCAGCACATAAAGTTAACAATTTCATTGGTGCTGGCACCGGGGATCGAACTCAGGTTGCTCGAGTAAATGTAATTGCACGACAATTACATCACTGAATTCTCAAGAGCCATAGTAACTCAATATTCGGAAGCTTGCTTCGTCATTTCCAGCCATTGTCCAGCTGTTGTGTATACTTTTGGTTTGGAGAAAGCTGCAATGCGATCAACCTTAAAACATTGACTCCAGTGACCTCACTCATCAGACAAAATGCAAAAGTATAATACAGTCACAATTTTGATCTTTGTCCAATTTCTTTGTTCTGTGCCAACTTGCGTGGAACAGCCGAAGCTGCTACGCTCTACCACAGACAAATTTGTTTTTATAATCTGTTACTTTCCTTTACCACTGTTACTGTAAGTAGTTATTGAGGAGAGCTTTTTTTTGTTTGATCTGAGTTCATTCAGACTAGTTTTTTTAACCACAAGGTTTTAAATCTTTAAAGCTGCCATTATTGTTATTACAGCACAATAGCCTGACTTCTGCGTAGTAGTAAATAAAGTCCTTTCGACCATTGTACATACTTGCTTATACACCAAATATTATTTTGCTGGTTATACAAATATTTGTTATAGCTTTCTTATTACTCTGCCATATCCAGGGAAAAAGGACAAGGACAAGATGATAGATGACAAGGCGCTGAATGAATGGATGTCATCTATACCGATGGACAGCCTAAACTACAATGAGAGGAAATTGCTGGACAACTTGAAGAATAGAGCGGAGTGAGTAATCATTCATTTGGTTTTTCTTGTAAATGTTGCCTCTTTAGCATGTGTCAATGGTACGACAAAACAAATATTCCATAATATAATAAGTGCATTCAAGAAATGCACATTTCAGGTGCTTTATAAGTTAACCTTTGCATAATAAATTGTATATGCAGGGAATATGATTTTTAAAATTGCATTTATTTTTCATTAATTAAACAGAACTTACAAATAAAAACCATGTTTGACTCGTCAATTTATTCATGCACTGTACGAAAATAAATATATCATTTGCATTTAACGCACACTTGACTTAACACATAATAGTTTGCTTTATATTTATACAGCGTGTCGTTACCATCGCGATAATAAATGAACACACGTCTAACGCTACTTGCCAATAATCATAAAAAAATATTAACGTTAAACAAAATCCATAATTAAAAAAAAATATTTTTCAAACAAACTAATTAAGTAAAAAAGAAACAAAATTTGTAACATCCTATACAACTCGCGCCACAGCGTCGCATTACAAGCCTCTCCTTCTAACAGTATGTTTTGTCTCTTTTAAATTCATTCAACCCATTCATATGCTTTGTGACCTTTACAAATGAACTTTACGTTACAGTTTTATAGGTAAGGTGTTCTAAAATTGTTTGTTTTGGAAAATTTAATAACTCTGTAAATATTTATGTATGAAGAATGTAAATGTTTAATACAATTTTAAAAATTTATCCTCTATATGTGTGTTCATTTATTGTCGCGGTGGTAAAGACACGCTGTATGTAGCGAAAGACAATGCAAAGATTTGAAAGGTGAGAAAAATGAAATGGGGTCGGACCACACCATCTGGCGCAAGAGGCGGGTACAATACCCACTACGTCAACCGGGCTTAAACGTTTGTATTTTCGTGTTGCAGGGAGCAGAATGAACGTCGGAAATCGCGTTCGCGCGACGAGCGAGAGCGGCGCGAGGAGCGCAGAATGGAGGAGAGGAGAGAGGAGAGGCAGGACAGGAGAGAGGAGAGAAGAGAGGAGAGGTCGGACAGGAGGGACGAGAGGCCCGAGAGAAGAGAAGAGAGGCCCGAAAGAAGAGAAGAGAGGCCCGAAAGAAGAGAAGAGCGGCCCGAGAGGCGGGAAGAGAGGCGGAACGAGCCGCGACCCAGATCGAACCAGCAATCGTCCGAGGCCAAAAAGCCGGAAATTAAGAAGATGCCTTTTATCGGTAAGGGAGTGCACCAATCAAAAACACGGACCAAAAATCGTATCTCACTTCCATTAATATTAGTCTTGGCTGTAGTATGAATATTTTTTATTTACTTATGACTTAATACGGCTTTAAATAGTGCTTCTTCACGTTGGTTAAATCACCCACGGTATTGGAATAATTTCTTAGTACACAAGTCACTTATTTTTAGACTAAAATGTTGTATGTTGTTGTATTGATGTATATTGAAAAAGCTTAATAATGTACATTGAATTATGATCAATATATGGTTTTAAATTCTGACTACAAAAATTAACTGTAACTCTTTAACTATTAATACTGTTATTAACTATAATAAACTATTTATGTAGGAAAAATGCCAGTGTTCAAGAACTTGGGAAAAAATGTCAAGGTCGAGGACCAAAAAAAGGACGACGAGAAGAAAAAACAGGAGGAAGAAATAAATAAGAAGAGAAGAGAAGAAATGGACGCTGAGATACAGAAAAAGGTTTTTCAAAAAGCTTCTGTTAATACTTCCAGTTCTTAGACCATCTTCCCATTGTTTAATGTGTATTAGAAAGAAAAGAAAGAAAGAAAGAAAAATATTATAGATGTCTCTATTATAACTGTTGGACGACTGGTAAAGCTACATTACATAAAGGTTGACAATGCTTTGTTGGTCTTCTTTAAAAGATCATTATATCATATTTGAGTTTGATTCATGGAGACAAATATTTGATTTGAAAGCAATTGGGACGCATGATTTTCTTAATACTTTTTGTAGTTTTGGATAATTAGACTAAAAAGGAGACCTTTGCCTATCAATAGTATATGTATAGGCTGCTGTGTATTACTTGGCCAAATAAATATTACATTCATACAGTTATTACATGGATGGAGTGATTCATTTGGAAACTTATACTGTATTATGTTAGATGCAATAATTAGTTTTAAATGTATTATTTTTTGTTTAAAATATGTAATTATGGGGATTTAATGTACGATGATGGCAGTGAGTTCATGTTTCATCTGATTTTAAATGATAACCGCAGCACACTGGCATTTGCAACACGCGTGGGGTTGCAGATGCATTGACACCTTTTAATAAAGTCGGCCCCGGCTACCTAACTCCTACCTAACCAGACGAAACGCAGAAGTATACCACTTCTACTTCACGCCGGTCTTCTGTGAGGTGAAATTAAGTTTAAAAAAGAAAGTCTCGCTGAGTTTCTTTCGCCAGTTCTCAGGTAAGTTGCTTTCCTTCTGAACTGGTAGTAGTGTTTTTTAGCAATCAATACTTCCCGGACGGAGCTGCCCATTCGTGCAACAGCTAAGACTGCTTCGCGGCCCTGCCACGGTTGACTTTGTTCCGCAGGTGGCGCAGTTCAAGGAGAAGATCGCGAAGGCGCAGCTGGAGAAGCAGCAGCAGGAGATGGCGCCGCAGCTGCCGTTCAGCGCCGCCACGGCCGCCAAGCTGGGCCTATTCCCGCCGCCAGCACTCCTCAATCCGTCAGTTACCACCCTTCTCGTCCCTTCGTGTTGATATGCCCACTAAGCTATTGAACTTTTTCATTTTTATGTGAAGATTTAGAAAAATGGACGACAATTTTTCGCCGCTGCGAGTATTTGAACCTACGTACTCTGGATTACGCGCCCGAAGCTCTAGCCGCTGGGCTAAACGACTTATCTTCACACCGACGAAAAACTTTTATCTGCTTTAGTCTTCCTTAGTACATAGCAGTACGTAGTAGTTGCCAAAGTGTTGGCCTCTGTGTCGGAGGTCGTGGGTTCGAATCCCACACCAACTTGTGTGATCCACAGATAACTGATAATAAACAGAGTCGTGTTAGCTTAATGTCCAGGCGCTCGCCTATAATTCAATATACTCGAGCAACCTGAGTTCGATCGCCGGTGCCGGCGCCAATGAAATTGTTAATTTTAAGTGCTGACTTATCACTTGCTCAGCAGTATAGGACAACACCATGAGGAAACTTGCATGTTCTCGAAATAATATAAAAAAAATTATTTTGTAAGTGAAAAAGGGAAAAGTTGATGGTTATTGGTAAACAGAACATTTTACCGATAACCTTCAAATGGGATAGTAATCTAGTAACGGCCGGCTCGTAATTGACCAGCGATAAAACATCGAGCCGTCCGCCCGCAGGCCGCTGCCGCCGCAGACGCCGAACAACCTGCCCAAGGACTTCCAGGACGCGCTCGACATAATATTCCCGTCGAGCGCGAAGCCGGCCGAGATGCAGCAGCAGGAGGTGTTCGTGCCGGGGCTGGGGGGCTTCCCCGTGCCGGGGCTGCCGCTGCCCTTCCCGCACCTGGGGCTGGTGCAGCCGCCCGTCTCGCAGATGGTGGTGGGCTTCGACGTGAACGCGCCGCTCTTCCCGCCGCAGCTCTACGACGCGCACGTGCCCGTCGCGCCGCGAACCAAGAGCGCCCCGCCCGCCGCCAAGGCGCCGCAGCCCGACGCGGGCCGCAAGGAGCAGCTGGACGAGCTGGCCATGCTCGGCATCGACGCCACGGACGTCGGCGCCTCCTCGGCCATGTGAGCTCTCGCCCCCTCCTCGATACCTTCGCCCCCTCGACATCGCTCCGCCTCCCCCGCCGTTTCCTTCCACATCGTCCTGCCGCCCCTTTCGCCCTCTCCTCGATAACGTGCCGCCCCCACCATTTCACCCCTTCGCCCCCTCGACGTCACTCCGCCTCCCCGGCCGTTACCCTCCACATCGTCCTGCCGCCCCTTTCGCCCTCCTCGATAACGTGCCGACCCACCATTTCACCACTTCGCCGCCTCGACGTCACTCCGCCTCCCCGGCCGTTACCCTCCACATCGTCCTGCCGCCCCTTTCGCCCTCCTCGATAACGTGCCGACCCACCATTTCACCCCTTCGCCCCCTCGACGTCACTCCGCCTCCCCGGCCGTTACCCTCCACATCGTCCTGCCGCCCCTTTCGCCCTCCTCGATAACGTGCCGACCCACCATTTCACCACTTCGCCGCCTCGACGTCACTCCGCCTCCCCGGCCGTTACCCTCCACATCGTCCTGCCGCCCCTTTCGCCCTCCTCGACATCGCTCCGCCTCCCCCGCCGTTTCCCTCCACATCGTCCAGCCGCCCCTTTCGCCCTCCTCGATAACGTGCCGACCCACCATTTCACCACTTCGCCCCCTCCACATCGCTGCGCCTTCCCCGCCGTTACCCTCCACATCTTCTCGCCGCCCCTTTTGCCCTCTCCTCAACACCTTGCTTCCCCCACCTTTTCACGCCGCCACCCCATCACCCCTCCACATCACCCCGAATTAGTTTACCGTCGTTAGCTCTTGGTCGAAGGTCAAAATTAATAACGATCTATGTAGAATATTACCGCGAGTTAAGTTCGCCCTCAAGGCAAGTTTTGTTCTCGAAGATCAAGAGAAAGGCGGCAAACTGGTTTCTAACACTCATAATTTAGAAGAAAGGACTTCCTAGTTGCGCCTGTTTATCGACTGCTGATCGATTTACGCGGAGTCAGTCTTCAGTTGTGGCATAAACCATTTGAAAAGCAGTAAAAGATTTAAATAGTACTTTCCCCGATCCGAACTGTTAATGCTGCAAAAAATCTTGTTGTAACTACAGCTGAGAAACAGTTTTATGGATGAATGTAAATTTATGCCCTATAAACTTTTTCCTTAAGTTTATCATGTTGAGCTAAAATGTAAACTTCTGAAATGACAGCGACATGTTCTATAGTCCTAGGAAATAAAGAATATGTAAGATATTTAATTCAAATGTAAGGTCAATTATATCCAATATTTACAACATTAAATCTGAGTTTAATAGGTAAATTATAATTATATCTATATATTAATATGATCGAAAGAATTTTTTTGTCAGTGCTGCCAACATACGAAGCTGAGTCTCCTGATTAAACTTACATTTGAACTTCCAACTGAGTGCATATTAGCACTAAAAGTAGTACATAGTCATATTATTATATTCATGTTTTTTTTTATTTTTCTTTTAGTAGATTGTATTTTTTTTTTTGCCTTATATCTTAAAATTGAAGAAATACTAGTATATGACTAGTATTTATTTACACCTAAATAGTAGAATTGACTTAATAAATGTTTCTCGACATTAATTCTATATGGATTTTTATATTTTTTATCGTTTCTTATTCAAAAATAGATAGAAATATTAATGCAGATGAGAAAAAATGAAATTCAGTTTTAGACGCTCTAAAATTGATTAGTGGATCGCAAAATAGGCTTACCTTAGTTGTATGTTGTAAAATGTTTTGTGTATCCTATTTTTTAATTATTATAATAAGATTTCAATCGGAAAACTTCCATTATGATGAATTCATGTTTATTGTACAGTTATTAGGTGACGGTAAAATACTTGAAAAACATAAATATCATTTATGTTGTTCAAGTCGACAATTTTTGAAACTGTTTAATTATCGTGGCCGAGTTAAAATGGCGGTAGATTGTTATGCCGCCATAAAGTTGTCTTAAAAGCATTTTACATAATGTTGTATTAATGTATTACTGATTATGTTTCTAGTGAATAAATAACGGTTTCGAATTGGTGAATTTGTATTCATTTTCTACGAATGTACTTCTATTATTGTCTGCTGCAAGGTTTACCACGAATACATTGAGTTTAAGCCAAAAATTACCCTATCATTATCCCTATTGTTTCTTCATACTATGAGTTGAGTCAAATAACCATTACTCTTTATTACTGATGAGCTAAAATAACTGTATGACTGCTTATTTTTAGTAAACTTGACAACCCGATTTCCGTAGTGGCCAGTGACCCTGCCTCTTGCTCCAGAGGGTGTGGGTTCGATCCCCATTACTGGAAAAATATTATGCGATGAACATAGTGTATTTCCATCGTCTGTGTGTTTATATATATGTATATATACTACCGAACTCTATAGTGGTGTACAGGAACACGCGACTTAAATCCGACAAAAATTTATAAATAAAAAAAACGAATTGTGAAAATCTAACTAATCTATTCTCGAATCGAGCTGAAGACAAAAAAAATCATTAAAATCGGTCCAGCCGTTTAGTAGTTCAGAGATATACACACATACAGAAGAATTAGATATACAGCGTGTCGTTACCATCGCGACTATAAATGAACATACGTCTAACGCTACTTGCCAATAATCATAAAAAAATATTAACGTCAAACAAAATCCATAATTAAAAAAAAATATTTTTCAATCAAACTACATAAGTAAAAAAGAAACAAAATTTGTAACATCCTATACAACTCGCGCCACAGCGTCGTATTACAAGCCTCTACTTCTAACAGTATGTTTTGTCTCTTTTAAATTCATTCAACCCAATCATATGCTTTGTAACCTTTATAAATGAATTTTACGTCACAGTTTTATACGTAAGGGTGTTCTAAAATTCTTTCTTTTGGAAAATTTAATAACTCTGTAAATATTGATGTTTAAAGAATGTAAATGTTTAATACAATTTAAAAAAGTTATCCCCTATGTATTTGTTTATATGTATTTATTTATAAAAGAAAAGTATGTTTAGCAGTTATCTAGTACCCATAGCACAAGCGTTGCTTAGTTTGAGACTAGAAAACGTAAAAATGGGTCTTGAAATATTTATTAAAAGTATTAGTAATAGTCATTATTAATGCTTTTAGACTTTGTTGCGAATAGTAATTAATAATAGAAAGATTAATAAACAGCTAAAAGTTCAGCAGTTATCTATAGTAATGAAAACTTAAGTTATAAATATAATAATGAAAATTCAAGAGAGTATCGCGTCTATGCAACCCGAAAATAAATAAGAACTTTACAAAGTATATAACGTTAAACATAATATTTTCTTCGCAATCGGCGATGACATGCAATGTTCACTTTTAAAACTTATCGGCGTATAAGAAAACATGACGTAGGACTACTCGATCGTGACCTAATGGCAATAGCTTATCGTACTTGCAAGAAAATGGCGAATTAAGAAACCAACGCTGTTTCCACTAATGCCCGGTTCCTATATTCAACGAACGGCCGTTAGTCACATAGCTTCGTAACTTTCATAACGACCTGTAGATAAAAGGCGTGTACGCCCGGTTTCTATATTAACAAAACGAGGCGTTTTCCTTACGAGCCGTTGCATTACCTACGGAGAGTGAGTTTCTAGTGTTCCTTTAATCTTGTTCGTTGAATATAGGAACCGGGCATAAACATACCGTGTTTTTTTTTATTGTTTCTCAAAGCAGAAACTGACCGTTTTTACACAACACCTTAATGAAATCTTTATGATTTAGAGAAAGTCTATATACACCAGTATTCGCTTTTAACAATGATACGGCCACGCAACAGTTTTCAATGTTTCACGAAGAGGATCCAGAGGATAAGATAAAGAACACCGGGAAGTGGAAGTGTTTTGACTGGTGAGGTAGCCGGGGCCCACTTTATTGAAAAGTGGTAACGCATACGCAAGCAACCCTATGTATGCAAATATCGATGAGCGGTGGTTATTATCACTTAGCATCAGGTGAACTCCCAGCTCGTTTGCCCTTGCTTCTCACATAAAAAAGACGAAGAAAAAACTATTTCATTATCGTGTATGTTCCATAATAACATAAGTTGCTAATTAAAAATATTACGTGACCGATTTCAAATGAAATAACATGTATCGGAAATGTGACTCTAGAGTGAAATAATTATCAGTAGGGCTCTCTGTACAAATGTACACACTGATACGATTAAGACGTGTTTGTAATACGTAGGTAATCTTTGTGACTACCATTTAGGGATGGGTAATTCGACTTACTAAATAGAGTAACTGGAGTAGCTCTGGCTTAGTTTCTTTTATATTTTCGATTTCAGCGTGTACACTACACAAAGCTTCATCGGGTACAGAGCTCTTGACAAGGCTGTGTTATTCATGCTATGGGCGTTGAAAGGAGTGCTTCAGGGTGGTACCTTGTGTACACGGTGTAAAGATTTTGCTGTGCCCTTGAACGAGTAAGAACGACAAAGTATTGGTAAAGTAAATAGTTAACGCGTGTCCGTGTATTGTTGTCGAGTGGGACCCCCGGTTGGTTCAACCGAAATACCTACTCTTTCGTCGTTAGGATTGTAATAATTGCTACGTATGCGTAAGTGGGATTTTTTTTTATGGCAAGCTGACAGTTCACTGAATGGTGAGCGATTACCGCCGCCCATGGACGTCTATCAGAGCCCTGGCGTTGCAGATGAGTTGCCAACCTTTACAAGTGAAAATGTAGAAGTAAATAAAATACTTACACTTTACGCTAGTATTCTTTAAGGCTGTCGAATTTCTGGGGACAACCATGTCCATTAATGCCACAACACATGCTACATGGCACTACAACAGTAAATGATCACCCTTATATTGTACCTGTGACGTTACTTTGACACCACCGTACACAAGTGAAAGGGAGGAAGACATGATCCTTAGGGGACGCCCTCTGCAAGAGGACGGCTCCGACGTATAGTCTAGTTACTTGACTAAGTACGACCCTAGTATATAGTTGGGCTCTAGTATATAGGTAATATGGAGGTATAGTACATTAAAGCGGTTCGACAAAATTGAAGTTGAAATAAGAAAATATCATCATATTTTTTTATTTCAATCTACAATTATTACAAAAAAATAATACATATATTGTTTTATCTTACCGAGTTTGAAAAAAGTGCATAAAAAGTTTGTAAGAAATAATTGACTTGGTTTCGTCTCGCCAATTCGAGTTTCATGAATACATTTACATACAGACATCATCCACACATTTAGCCAGATGTAAGGCAATGTTTTGCTGTATTCTATAGGCACGTTATTCTCCTTAAGCTTCCTTGGTAACATTTAAGATGCAGTCTTCTATAGTCTATAGGTAAGCATGTAAATTATGTCCAGTCCATGTATATATTCTATTGTAGCTGACATATTTATGGAGGGCTTTGAGGGAAAGGCCCTTCACACAGCTCCAAATTAGCCAAGATTTTACCAACCATCTACATAGATGACACTCACAATTTTACTTCGTGCGCGAGTCCGACTCGCACTTGGCTGGCTTTTTTAAGTTTATATCTCATCATCTATGGATCGGGTCAGAAATACTGACACATGAAGGTTTAATTATAAATTAATATAAAATAAGTTAATATTAAATTGAGCGTTACCTACTCGGG